AGACACGAACTACTCCATTTATTTCAGAGCTGCTTTCACGATAATTATACATATATTCCTTTGAGACACGCGTTTTATAGACTGTCATTTGAGTGTTGGAAATTACGCATATGACAGTTAAAGAGCGCAGCAGGGAGGATGACAGTGCATTAAAATGAGGAAAATAGCAAACGCTGAGAACGCGTAGTTATATTACCTCAAAACATTCCCGAAATGACATATAGTTACTCAAATGTTGTGATACCAAGCATATAAACAAACAAGATTGCAAGTGCACTGTCTACCGTGGTGCTGAAAGAATTCTAGTTCTGCGCAATATTCACGAACAAACATACGCAATCTCTGCGTCTGAAAGCCGTTAGCACAGCTTCTCGCTACGCAGTTTATGCTACGTAAATTACGCACAGTCCGCCGGCAAGTTCAGCACTAACAGACCCGAAAACATACGTTCGCACTTCTATTGCACGCAACATCAGGGCACGTCTAATAAATGAACAGACTTAACTCTTCACTTTTCCAAATGTTCCGACTCCGAGCGTGTCTCCGAGGATGTAGTGTCCTATCTTTACCCTGCCTTCGTGTTTCTGCTTTTCAGCCATTTTACTATGTGAGGTCCTCGGGCTGCCGTTACAGGAGGCGGGATTGCGCGCATGAGGTGGACTGAGCTCGGCTAAAGCCCTTTTTAAGGGCTGATCTGAGTTCAGCTGCTGGAGAAACTGTAAGAGTTGTGTACCAAAAGGCAGATCTCGGATCAGCTGATAATGTGATCGCTGTTGGGGAAGAGGACGCCTGGGCGTTTAGGTAAACAAGTATCCCCCCAGCGTGACATAACTACAAATGACTCTACATGAATTAATTTTGAATATAGGAATATTTAAATTTGATGTTATAGTGATTTTGTAACATTATTAGGCTACTGCTATTGTGTTTATTAATAATTTGTGGTAATTTTATATTTTAAGCCTATTCTGCGCCTTTGGGATGCATCAAATTAAAATGAATGCAAAAGCATCTAAATTTGTAAAAAAGAAATTACGTTAACTTAATTTATTCATGTTGTCCCAACACAAATCGATTTTGTGGAACCCAACATTTTTTTTACAGTGATAGCGTACTAAGGAACAGTTCACAAAATTGTCATCTCTAATAGCTATATAGAGAGTTGAAGTCAGAATTATTAGCCCACCTTTGAATTATTTTTTTCAAACTTTTATATAAAAAATTATGTTTACTATGTTCAACAGAACAAGGACATATTTTACAGTATGTCTGATTATATATATATATATATATATATATATATATATATATATATATATATATATATATACATATA